TAACTATTTACCGAACGGTCGTTCGTCCTATTTATTTATAATTATACGTCCTATTTATTTACGGGCGTCCGTTCTTTATTTTATTATATAATTATAGTTACGTAACTTATCTATAGTTTTTCTATCCCGAGAGGAGTTATTTTAAATCCGCTATTTCTATATATATAATATAGTAGCCGCTGTAGGTCCTATAGGGTAGGCCCTAGCCTTGTTATACGTGTTAGGTTATAATATTTATTTTATTATATAATCGTAGTTACGTAACTTATTTATAGTTCTTCTATCCCGAGAGGAGTTATTTTAAGTCCGCTACTTCTATATATATAGTATAATAGCTACTATAGGTCTTATAGGGCAGGCCTTAGCCCTATTATGCGTGTTAAGTCGTAATAATATAGGATATATCTAGGGTAATTTTAATAAACTTAAGTAACGCGTAATATACGTTAAGCGGAGTATAAATAATTAATATTTATTATATATTTTATAATAAGCGTAGACTACGGGAATAGTATAAAGATATTATCGAGTTTATTTTTAAAGGACTATTAATAATAGAATACTTTTTAAAAAATAAAAAGCGATTAATAAAGGTAAAGGTAATATAATACCGGATTTAGGAGTACGAGCTATAAAGAAACGAGACGGGTAGTAGTTTAGCTCTATATATTAATAAGGACTTAGTAATAAAATAACTATATAAAGTATATAATAAAAAAAGATATTTTAGAGTACTAATTATAATATATTATCTTTAAGGGCGCGTATTCTAGCTAAAGCGTATATAGGACATAGACCTATATATTAAATTATATTAAGTATACTAAGTATACGGCCCGAGATTACGTATATTATTATTAAAAAAGATTTTAATACTAGAACCTTAGAAAACAGTGGCTATTAACTTTATAGGAGAGATTACTCCGATAGTAGTAAACGGGTTAAAGTATATTTTAGTAAATATCGACTATTTTATTAAGTTTAGTATCTTAATACTATATAAAAAGGTATCTACTAAAGCTATATATTAAGTATAGTTATTAACAATATCCTTAATCCTTAGCTAGCTTGAAATAATTTATTATAATAATAGTAATTATTTTAAAAATATACTATTCGCTATAATTATTAATTACTATAATACTAAGCTTATTTATAGTCCTACTTTTTATTTACGGTTTACTAGCTAAGTAGAATATATAGTAAAGTTAATAAAGCTATAATTAATAAAGTAGGTATAATCCTAACTAAAGGAACTAAGGATACGATAGTATTACGAAGTACTTTTAATTATATAGTAATTTAATTTACGATATATTTAATCAATATCTATATTATTATTTATAGCTATATTTAGGAAAAATATTTTATTAAATATAACGGCTATTAATAGCTTTAATAATCTAACTAATACTCTTAACGGAGCGGCCGAACTTATTATTATTTTTAATAAAGAAGATATTAATATAGACCCCGCTATAGTAAATTAGAGTATTATTATTAATATAGATCGAAGGGAGGAGTTATATAATAATATAAGAGACGAGTTAATATATATAGCGGAGATAGTAAATACAAAAGCTATATTTATTAAAAGGTTTATTATAAATAATCTTATATAGGAGAAAATTAATAAAGATAGTAAGTCGAACTCTAAGTTCGACCCCTTTTAAATTAGTTTTTATAAAGTTATTAAGGTAGTATTTAACGTATTGTATTAAATTAATAATATTATTAAAAATTACGAGGTTAAAAAGAAAAAAGTATACGTATCCGATTTTAAAATATATATTATTAGACCCCCTCGACTCTAAACCTAGCGGCCTATTATTAATATATATATTATTATAAATATCGATAAAGGTCGTAGTATATATTTAGAGTTAGTATTACTTATACTAGTAATAGAGTTAGAGCGTAAAGCGAGGATAGTACCCGATAATTAGTAAATATAATAATAAAGAATAATATTAATAGAGGCGTTTTCTATATTATTTAGTCGAGAGCGGCCTAGGTTAGGCTATTATAAACTTAGCTAGGCTAGAAAGCTAGTAACTACTTAACTACCTATATAGTGTACTATATTATATAATTAGTAGAGCTACTTTAGTACCGTGCTAGAGCGCACTTTATACTTAGAGAAAATAAATATCAATTACTACTACTTTTTTACTCCTTATATCTTCATCCTATCTTTACCATTTGTCGGGCCTAGACCCAGCTTCCACCAGGCTGCGCCGACAGATTGGTTCTCCGTCTTCCTCGGTCACTTTCTCTTTCACGCCGACGTGCTCATGGCTACGCTATCCGATGCTCTCCGAAGCAGCATCACTAGTGACCACCCAATCCATCACATCAGGCTGAACGAAACGGTATCGCACATTAACTGAGCCATTTTCCTCCTCTTCTGCACTCTAGAGTCTACGGTACCAATGCCACCCACCGACTCTGCCCGAAACTCGATGCAGGGCCGTCGTCCTCCGTCTGATCTCGACGCCTGATACAACTACTACTGCATGCTGCCACAGATAAGGCCTTCTTTTGGCCCGAACAGCGGGAGAGTCTCCCCGCCATCAGACCAGGCACATGGCGCCAATCCCGCCTCTCTAGTGGCTGTTGCTGTACCACTTCCATACTCGCATAGTGGGCGTAGAGTCCCGAAAAGGCCAGCCACGTTTCCTCGTCTTCGGCGCCATGGTGGTTTAAGCCTGATTGCGTGCATCTTTTTGTTCCGACAGCGCCATTGATGAGCATTCTTACTAGTTGGCGTACGTGATCTTTCGGATGATCGCGCCGAGAGTGCACGATCTTGCGAGAGGTACTCGCTCGCGAGCGTTGGAACCCTGAACTCTTCAACCACGATAGATCTCTACCGACATGCAAACTGTGACCGGTTGTGAATGCCAACACTCCAATCTAGATCGTTGCTGGACTCATGTGCTTCTACGGTTGGATCGCATAATAACCGCGTCATATTCAACAATCAAGGTCGCATATTGACACTTCCGGTAAGCCTCTCGGTGAGCTAACCTGATCTTAAAATCGAGTGGTCTTCTCAGAACACCCAGTTAGCATATCGTGAGCTTCCCCAGTAACATACTTACAACCCATGATATGTCACTTATCCCAATTTTTCACTATCGAAGTGTGGGTGCTCAAATCTGTCTTTCTTACCAAGCCGCGACCTTCTAGGCTGCGGTCTTCATTTAAGCCGAGGTTCATATGAGCTCTCATAGAGATTGTGCACTCTCGCAGGACTTTACTTGCGCTTTTTGAGGCTATCACCATCACCAAGAAAAAAAAATGCGTCTTTTCCCTTCCTTCTGCGACCCAACTTGTGACTAGAATTGATGGGCTCTTCATTTGTTCATTGTCGCCACTTTGAAGAGGGAAGACAAAACGTTCCACGTCGCAATTAAGGAACAAGTACGAAAGTCCCTTCTTCTAGGCAGCCATCTGACTGTCGCATTCTGTTGCCGTCCTGTCCGGTTTGGACACTTTTCTGACGATAAGAATCACTCTCTAAAGAATTGCCAAATCACATTCAAGCATCTTGTCAAGTCTAACAAGGATTTTCGTCAGCTTGTGTAGCTACGTAAGCATGAGGTTGTCCATTTACATCAACCCCGCGCTGACTGTCGCTCGAAGGGCGGCAATTCTCCGCTCTGCTTCGGTCAAGTAAATCATTGATATACACGTTATATAACTGGTAAGTGTCGTAATTCATCCGAGATGGAATCATTCTTACTCACAAGTGATAGCACACATATCTCCATCACACAATTGAGCCCTCATCATGTCGTCCCCAACGATCACTCTCTACTACAGACCCGGCTCATGCTCGCTCGTAGCCCACGCACTCCTCTACCACCTCGGCATCCCCTTCAAGACCGTCAAATTGAGACCCAACGCCGACAAACGCTTCGAAGCCGCAGACGGCAGTTTCACGCACGAAGACTACTGCAAGATAAACCCCTCAGGCTACGTCCCAGCCCTCGTCCTCGACAGCGGGGAAGTCATCACGGAGCTCCCGGCCGTCCTGACCTACATCGCGTGTATCGCCCCATCCGAGCAAACCGAAAAGTTCCTGGGCTCCAGCGCCTTCGACCGCGCAAAGGTGAATGAGTGGACCAACTGGCTGAGCGGAACGTTCCTGGGCGCGAGTCTCGCGGCGTGTGCAAGGCCGTATCGGTTCACTGATGGAGAGGAGGCTCGCAAGGCGGTCGCAGAGAAGGGCTGGGAGCATATCTTGGAGTGCTTTGACAGGATCGAGTCCAGGCTGGAGGGACGAGAGTGGGCTGTAGGTGACGACCTGACGGTGGTTGATATGTATATGTATTATTTCCGGCGGTCGGCAGTGTACATGACCGACTTGGGCGAGTATCCCAACTTTGAGCGCTTGCAAAAGAAGGTGGAGAAGCTGGCGGGTGTTCAGAAGGTATTGGAAGTGGAGGAGCTCAAGCCGGTCTTTGAGTGAAGGAATGAGCCCCGATATTGTGTTCCAACGTCATGATGGAATACCAATGTGTTAGCTGCGCTACGAAGGTACTCTGAACAGCTATCGCCTCAAACAACTTCAACATGCTCTGCATCCTTCTTATCCATCACTCTTTCCTCACTCGTGCTATCTCTGGAGCTCAGTTGGGGCCTCTTTCTCCAGATGAGCTTGTCCTTCAAAGATTCATTTTCAAAGAGCTCATCCATCTTCTCCAACGCAAGGCCTGAAGAATATTAGTATGAGATAATCAACTCAGCCAAAGTCATCACCAAACTCACCGGCAGTCTCGGGCACGAAGAACCACGCAAACACCACCATGATGAAGCAAAAGGTGCCGTAAACAAAGTACGTCCCAAACCCGCCCTCACCAAGCGTGGCAAACATGCTTGGTGTGGCTTTAGCGACAACAAAATTGAAGAGCCACTGGCTTGCTGTCGCCATCCCCATCATCACGGCGCGGAGACGGGCTGGAGGGATCTCGGAGCTGTAGGTCCATACGACAGGGCCCCATCCGAACTGGTACGTGGCAGCAAAGATGTAGATAGCTACCAGAGCGACGTAACCCGGGGCGGTGACGGGCTCGCCGGCGATGGGCGGGTCGAAGCGGATGTAGAAGCCAACGTAGAAGAGAGCGATGCCCTTGTAAGGTGGCGTGTCAGTACGTTGCTTCATGTTGGCTTTTGTGTTCGGTGCTCTGGCTTACCTGAACGATCCCGGTCCAAAGCAGACTCTTCCTTCGGCCGAGAGAGTCCGTGACGAAGACAATGAAGACGGTACAAGCAATCATCTTGACGATGCCATATACGCCAGTCGCAAAGAGTCCAGTCGATGATCCCGTCAACCCAACACTGGCGAAAATTCGACTCGAGTAGTATGTCATTGCATTGGTACCTGTGAGGTTACTCCACATCATAAGAGTAATGCACAGCATGCTACGTCTGCGGTAGGACTTGACAGTGAAGGCCTCTTTCAGGAGCGTGAAGTGGTTGGCGTTGAGGGAGAGAGCCCTCTCTTCCTCGAGTTGCCGGGAGATGCCCTCCATCTCTTGTTGGATGTATGGATGATCGGCCGGTAGATTTCGGAGCTTTGCGAGAACCGCCAGGGCTTTGTCGGGAGATCGCTGGGCAAGGAAACGGGGAGATTCATTAGCGAGAAGCATGCCGACGAAGAGGATGACGGCCGGGAATGCTTGGAGTCTGGGGGTTGTCAGAGGATGTACTTGTCCATGTCAAGATGTGGTGCTTACGAGAGTGGAATGATGTATTGTGTATGGCCTTTGATGTGGAGGAGCGAGCCATAGTTGATCCAGAATGCAAGCTAATCGACATTCACATTAGCATCGAGGTCTAATTACATACGCATCGTAGGCAAGGGTGGACTAACCGTCAGCCCGGTCACAATGCTGAGCTGATATAGCCCAGTGAGGAGACCTCTGATACCTCGCGGTGCGTTCTCGGAGACGTAAAGCGGGTTGACAGATGAAGCAATTCCAATGGCGATTCCGGCAACAAGTCTATTACATGAGTTAGCTCGCCCTCATCGTGATTCCTACGTGGGGCTATAAGTCGTCTACTTACCTGCCTACGTACATGGCTTCGATATGACCACTAGCGGCGGCTTGAAGTGCCACACCGATGAAGACGAGTATCGAAGCGATGATGAGAGAGAATCGTCGACCAACTCTGTTGGCGAGCCATGTCGAGAACAAGGCTCCCGCAAACGCTCCGGCTTGGATGACGGAGACGATGTTGGACTCAAGGTTTGCCAAGACGGTCTTGGGCTGATTCTCGAGGCCATATTGCCTAAGAGGACGCGGCATTAATAAGAAGGAGTCGAATACTGCAGGGACCACAAGTGACTCACTTCTTGAATGTGTCCATGGTCAAGACACCTCCGATAATACCCATATCCATACCGAATAGGAGGGCACCGCCGCAAGCCTATAGGTGACCTCTGTGAGTGCCTTGCCGTCCTTCGGCCGTTGAGGAGACGCAACTTACCACTAAGCTGATGAGAATGACCCGGGCATTGTATATCTCGGGAGGGTCGTTCCTCGTCGCTTCATTGCGAACAATCTTCTGTAAGAGGCCCATAGTGGTCGTGCTTCCGATCTAAAGATGCAGTTGCCAATCTTAAAGCCCGGCTGCTGTATGTTTCGTCTCATTCACTGCGAAGAATCATGTTCGGATGGCCTGAATAAGTACTTCGAAACTCTTCACACTGCGTATTCGCATCCTGCCATGTCAACACTCACACTCGACGTCCACGGCAATAGACGGAGATCAATGGCATGGACATCGGGGCAAAATCCGAAGCAGCGCACCCTACTGCACGCATCAGTTACCCCAGCCATTCACCCCGCAACCCCGGATTTCCGGGGTACTGGGGAAGGAATTGCAGGGAGGCAGGGAGTCACGTCCTATAAGCTCCAAAGACACATCGGGTGTTGGCGCCTACAGCGAGTCAGAGTCTAGTTGAGGACCGGGACACTTAGCGTCGGCTGTAGATGGAGGTGGCGTGCCACGCGGGGACGACTTGGAAGAACTCGCTTGGCGTTCTCCTGTGCGGAGCATGTCTTGGTGTAGGACTAACTGAGCGGCTTGGGAAACTTGGTCCCAGGGCTGAGGCACGCTGGCGATGCTAGCAAGGCATCGCATAGTGACCCAAGTATCAGGTAATACTGGTCATACATGCTTCGATCGCAGTCCAGGAAAAAGTCACGATGATTACTTGTTGAGGTTATCTTTTTTCCAGAAGAGTACAACAAAACACACGTTTTGCCGACCGTATTTCTTTCGCGGCGGGGGAAGTATCGGCTTGAGCACATAAAGAATCTCAGAGTATTCAATCGCAAGGGTAATGTCAAATTATTATGTTTGAAAGCGGTACCCGAAAGTAATTTACATGATGTGAGCTTGACACAGGACTCTCCTCCAAATTCAATGTTTACAATCCATCAAGTGGCTTATATACCTTCATCCAGCGCTGTGGTGTGTTAGTCGCGCTCGCGATCACGGAGGGGGTTAAGATGCTCACCCTGTCATAAGGTTTCTCGGGATCAACGAATCGCAGATCTGTGGCCAGACGGATCCTCGAGTCAGGGTCCTTATTCTTGCAGCTTGCATGCACCATGTAAGGGTTGTGAAAGATGACATCTCCAGTCTCATACTCGGCAATTAGCCATTTCCTCTTCGTCTCCTTCCCATAAGACACCGTGTCCCTACTGAGGAAACCGCCGTCATTCATGTTCTTATTGAAGGCGCTCACTCTCTCCTCGTCGGTAAGGTTGTGGGAATGCGCAGCAAAGTCATCTTCAGTCTTCATACCAATGTCTGTCGACCCTTGGAGGTACATCAAGCCGCCTCCTTCGAGGGACACGGGACCGATAGGAACCCAAGCGGTCAAGCTCGTTGGCGGCCCCGCTCGGAGATACATTTGATCAAAATGTACGGGCGTAAGCTCACTGTTGGGGACGAATGCGCGAAGCATCGTCCGTTGGAGCATGTGCGGGGATGGCCAGCCGGTGAAGTGACTGACGAACTCGCGGAGCTCTGGGAACTTGCAGAAGTTGACGTAAAAGTCGGCTTCATGCGCAGTGACCATGAGCTCGGCGTACTTGTCGCTCTCGGCGTCATCTTTCAACCCGAACAGACGACGGAGATTTCCGGGGGGAGGTATTTGCGAGTGTCCTTTCCTGAGAATGTGCCGTTGACTGGCTCGCTGCCTGGCTCAAGGAGGCCGCTTGGGCTCATGTGGTTGAAGTAGGCTCGGCGGCATTCGAGGACAGGTTCGTGGGGAAGAAGGTTCTTGATCTAGTCGTTGTCAGCAAGACTAAACTGACTATCAACGCCGTCATAGCTCACAAAAAGGTACCCATCACGTTCGAAGCGTTCTCGCATTATTTCAATTGGGGTATCGGCAGTGGTCGGTTGAAGATAGCCGATAGTCGTGGGGTCCATAGGGCCAAAGTTGGACTCAAGACTGAGGGTCTCTGGATTGGCAGGAGAATAGTTGCCGTAGATATCTTCTGTAGAGTTGGCGGGTGCATTCTTGCTTGGCTTCAGCTTCTCCTGAGGCAGGGTCGCTGGGACCAAGGTTGGAGATTCGGACTGAAGGATCCCGGGAGCCATAACTACAGCAAGGAATGAGTGAATGTAAGGGATTCGTAGATTCTAAGAGTTGTCGTCGTGAAAGCTTCTACGATCTTTCAAACTAGGCAGATTACAGAGCAACCAAGTCGAACAAGGGTCGGAGGATGCCTCGACTTGGATCCATGCTGTTCTTTATAGTAGACAACTCTTCGACACCCCAATTGGAGCAGCGGCTCATAATTGCCACTCATCTTCTGTTCCGACTTTGGTTGATTCCGTTAACCCCTCACGCGTCTGCAAGTTAACGAAGAGTGACATTGAAATGGTGGTGGTATAGGACCGTCGCCGTCTATTGCCGTACCCCGCGTGCCACATTATGACCCCGCCATCCATAGTCGTCTATAGCCGGTCATCGGCCGTCTAAAACCGTCTCTGGGCCCCCGCAGCCCTCGTACGAGCAACCCTAGGATCTCACATCTGTCACCCCATCTCTTCCCCGGACGGGACCTTAATCATGACGAAGGCCACCGGAGTCAGGCAGTACCGAGCATGCGTGAGATGCCGCGCTCGGAAGACGCGGTGCGACTTGTGGGTCATTTTCCTTGCAGTAGTAACAACGCGTCTTGCATGAGCCATCCCAAGAGAGCATCATTCCCTAGAACCTTATTCAAGCCCAACTTTGGTCTCCTTTCGCGCTTGTCTTGGGCTAATAAGAACCAAGAAATAGCATTGGAGAGAATGGCAAGCCGCCATGCGCGAAATGCGTCCGTGAGGGAGCCGAATGCTCACTTGCTGGCTCTCGGCGAGGGGGCGACTTCTCACAGTACCGGGGCAGCAAAAGACAACGACGAGACAGTGATATTCAACCCGTAACGGCAACGACTCCAACAACCTCCTTCGCGGCTCCAGAATCCGTGGCAGAAACACCGAGAGCCAGAGAAGAGCCATTGCATCGATCCCTTCAGAACCCCTCAGATGCGCTCCTCATACTCGCTCGAGCAGCCGAGGACGAAGATGTCGATGGGCCTACCTTAGACAACCCCACTGACTTGACTCCCGGCGACGCATCTTCAGCTCTAGGGTCAATACTTTCACCAGTTCAACAGACTCGGCAAGATCCATTGTTACCATTCGGCTCTCCAGTAAACCCAGCAACTATCGAGCGAGACATTGGGGAGTATCCCCCAGTCAAGAATGGCGCTTTGGATGCTCCTCTTCTACACCATCTCTTACAACAGCAAGTTCATGTTGCCTGGATTGATTGGCGTCGCTGACGTGTATAGCTATGCCATCAATTACCATCCCTACTTCCCGATAGTGCCAGCCAACGTTCTCCTCCCTCAATTCCTTCACGAGACGATAAAACACGAGTCCTTTCTCCTCACAGCCGCCCTAGTAGTGGCTTCGCGGGACCGATCGGATCTGGCAGAGCTACACCAGTCAATTTGGGCCCATATGCGACACCTGATTCTCGATGTTGTGCTAGGAATGTCCACGATCCGAAGTGTCGGCTGCGTCGAGGGTCTCTTACTGCTGGGAGAGTGGACACCCCTCACTCTCGGGCAGAATGATGATGGAGGCGAAGGGGCTGCTTGGTCCATAGTCGGCTTGGGCGTCCGACTTGCGTACCTGCTACGGTTGGAAGAAAGCTCCTTTCGGGCAGACAAAGAGGCTGACCCCGCGATGCTTAGAAGGCGACTTGCCTGGACGTGTAAGTACTCACCTTGCGAGACCAGAGACGCTCTGCTTACAAGCTTTCGTTCAGTTACCTACCTATCCGACCGACAGATATCTATCCGCATGGGTCAGGCTTTCTGGTCCCGTGGCCCTGCGTTGTCAGCTCGGTTCACCGCGGAGGACTTCCCCTCCCTCCAGCCTCGATATGCTTCCGGAGATGACTTTGCGTCCTTGCTTCAAGCGCAGGTTGAGCTGACTACTCTCTTCGGTAACGCCCATGACATCCTATTTGCTTCCAAGCAACGGACTGCTGAACTCATGGTTCGTGGGGACTACACTAAGTACATTGATGATGCTAGTCGCGCTATTGTTGCATGGGATATGGTATGGACTCCATTGACGGCTCCCTCCCACCTCAAGTGCTGTTTAAGAATGATGGAAAAGTACCTACGTCTCTACGTGAACGCGTTTGCTTTTCAGGCTGTTCTGTACAGAGCATCGTTGTCTGGAACGGACGTGGCGAGAGTCTCGTGTTTCCCCCACTCTGCCATGGCAAGCCCGGATGCACGAATGGTTTATGAGGCTGTTGATGCTGCAGAGGCACTGCTCAGGATTGCAATTGAAGACGTTGATCCCGAGAGATACTTGCGATACATGCCAGCTCGGTTTTACCTGTAAGTGCAGAACCGCCAGCCTCTTCAGCTCCAAGGCCGAAATTGACTTGTGAGATCAGATATGAGATCCACTCAGCCGTGTTTCTCTACAAAGCCCATGCCGCCGGCGCGATCTCGTCTGGGAAGCACGCCCAGACTGCCAGCCTGATGCGGCGATTCGTAGGTGTTCTAGAAACTGCAGCGACCGATACCGACCACATTGCATCCAAGTACGCGAAGCTTCTCAATGGCTTGTGGTTTCATAAAGGAGGAGCCAGAGGTGATGCCACCGGAAGTCGCGGCTCTGAGGAAAGGGTGCAATCCGATGAGGTTGGTGATGTAAACGCCTTCAATCAAGTCGATGACGATGATGATGAGAACGATGATGACACAAGCCATCTCCCATCCTTTGACGAGATCGGTCTCCAACCCTTGGATTGGATTGAGTCGGTTGAAGGGCTGTTCTCCATGCCCGCAGCGTTTCCGTGGGACCAGTCGATGTACTGAAAGTATGTTACCTTGGGTCTACTCCAGGAAGTCGACGACAAATCCCGGGCCACGAAAGGCACCCGAGGCAATGAATATGTTGCATGACAGTCTATCAGTTGCCTCTATCGACTGAGTCGTGTGATGCATCACTACCTATTCCGACGCCGCGTTGAATCCCTGCGTGGAGCTCCTCTTCCCCGCCCTACGTGGGAGGAGCTCCACGTCCACTTCCTCCACTGCCTCGTAAACCGCGAGCGATGCGGACGGAGCTTCTGCAAGTGATCGGCAAACTCTGAGGCAGCTCCTCTTGAACTTGTCCTGGTTGTAATGACCCGTCAGCCAGGATTGTCAATGCCGCCACAAGCTCCACGTCTGGTTGAGCATCGAGTCCGAGGACATGGAGGGTGGTGTCTGTGGACGGACGTCCCGCGGAGCATCATTGCACGTCCTCCCGACTCCTTCGTAATATTTCCTACTGTAAACATCATTGTCAACGTTTGGTTTTCGCGGGAGACAGAAACAAGAGTTGAGATCATATAATAGCCCAAAGTTCAACTAAGTTTAGCACAAGTACAATCCAACAAGAACAACATCCAGCAAACAAAAACACAAAGACCCAAAAGCATCGATCTCATTTCCTACAACGTTTTGCATAACCTTGATACATTCTTAACATTGCCCAACATGGTCGCCGACATCAACCAGCTGCCGCCGTACAGCCCGCCCCCGCCAACACAAGAGGACCGTAAGTTGCGCCGACACCTTTAACCCACCAATGCACACAAGAGCATGAGCTGAGTTGCCCTGGCGTAGTCGACTACGTTGACCTTGTCAACATCGATCTCTCAAAATTTGATACTCCCGAGGGCCGCCAACAGCTCGCCAAAGACCTCTACGAGGCCGCTACTGGCTATGGCTTCCTTTACCTGACAAACCACGGCATCTCGAATGAGACCTACGAACGCCAAATGCGCATCGCCAATGCGGCGATGACACTCAAGCCTGAAGAGAAGGCCCCCTACGAAGGTTCATACTACACCACTGCCGTCCCCGAAAGAACCATGCTAACCTCATTACAGTAACTCCCGAAGAGGATGCTCGTGGACTTTATGCCGGATACAAGCCTGCAGGACCCCTTGGACACAAGGGTGGCTTCCCCAAGGCCCTAGACCACTACAACATGCTTGTCCATGATCCGTAAGTAATGACTGCACGTCGAGAAGCTAGACTGTGTACTGACCCATCACCAGCAAGGACCGCCCCCACCCCGAGATCATTCGTCCGTTCATGGATGAGACGTACGAGGTTATGAGCTACATTCGAACCAACATCTTGGTGAAGCTGCTCAAGCTTGTCTCCATGGTCCTCGAAGTTCCCGAGGAGAAGGTCCTCTCCACACACGCCCCCGGTGGATCCAAGACTGAATATCTGAGATATGTGAGTTAACCTTTCCCTGGGTCTCATGTTACTGGTGCTGACGATTGTTAGATGATGTGCGAACCCAGATCAAAGGAGGAAAGTGAAAAGTACCGTGACATTTTCCTTGCTGGACACACCGACTGGTTAGCTATGCCCCATGTTCAACCAACTGATGCAAATCATCTCTAATTCAATATCTAGGGGCACTTGGACATTCCTTTTCTCCCAACCAGTCGCGGCGCTACAGGTTCTATGCCACGAGACTGGCAGATACCGTCACGTCCGTCACGTCCCCCACGGAATCGTCGTCAACTTTGGTGAGGCCCTCGAGCGTCTCACTGGCGGCCTCTTCAAGGCGACAATCCACAGAGTCATCCGTAAGCAAACATATCTTATTCGAAAAGTGAGATGTCCAAATCTAATGCAAGCAAACAGAGCCGCCCATGGACCAGCGCCACCTCCGCCGCATCGGCGTAATCTACTTCTCCCGCCCCGCCGACGAGCGCGAGCTCGTCCCCATTGAGGACTCACCCCTCCTTCAGCGCATGGGCACCGACAAGCCCATTGACGAGCGCGTCTTCTGTATGGCCGACTATCTCGACGCGAGAAAGCACGGATGGAAGCGGTACGACTTTGACATTGACCGCCCTCGTGAGGAGGGTGTTCACCAGGACCCCTTTGATGGCGAGTACACCGATCCCGAGGGCCACAAGTCGCTTGGAAAGTTTGATAATGTGCCGCGTCTGCAGTATAGCTTGCCTACTGTCAAGACTGGCACCGCCTGAAGGAGGATGTAGAGCGTTGTTGTTGAGAGATGGGGTGTATGCTGTCTTGAGTTTTGTTTGTATCTGGATTGGCGCACATTCTTGCACTGAATTGAAATGAAATAATCACTATCCAAAACTCTAGGATCTCGTGTGATGCAGTTTTTGAATGATGCTATGCAAGGTTACGCTGACTGTTGTCTGTAACCTAAAGCCTGAAGGTTCCGCACTCAAATTACTTCTTCCCTCGGCATGTTTGCAAGTCGAGCATATTACAAACATGAATACATGAGAGGAAATGAAGACTGTTACTCTTTCCAATACCAAGAGACCTCTCTGAATCAGCAGTCTGGTCCTCGGAGGGACAGGTATGTCTGCTTCAGATAGGCTGGCGGGTACTTACACGAAGTCGCCTTCCTCACGCCGTATTCCATGCTGAGAATCGAAATGGCCAAGCAAAACTGATCGGAGCCGAAGTCCTTTCAGTTTCTGAGGGTAGTAGAACTTTGACTGCATGGAATCATTACTTCATTCACTATGTGGTGCTGCATACGCCTCCTTCGCCTTGGAAAGGCTCTCCCCCATAACCGTAGCCACCCACTTTCCAACCGGCCAAGTCGTCCGCTTATTAAAATTGGCAACGATCCATTCCAGGAACCGCACCTCGCTCCGTGCAAGGTCAACAGGCCTATCATCCAGCATAGCCAGCGCAGCCGCGGCATTTTCGACATCTTCGTCTCCGGCATTCCCGACACAGGCCATGATGGCATCCAGAACAAAGCGGCTGGGGTTGGAGCGGCTGTTGGTATTGTTTCCCATTCCCGTTCCCATGCCTAGTCCCATGCCCATGCCTCCAGGCCCATGCATATCGGTGACGCTGCTGCGCTGAGCTGCGGGCATGGTGAGACGCACGAGGCGCCAGCCCACAAGGCAGATCTTGAAGCCGAGGAGGGTTATAAAAGGGTTTTCGAGAGAAGGCGGAGCGGTGGACTTGATCGGATTCAACAGATCGAGGGCCATTTCGAGATCGTTGAGCTGCAGGGGAACTATTGTCAGTAAAAACGCGGGAGGAAGAATGGGAACGGCGTTTCCTACTATTCTGAAGACATCCCGGTCTTCGTAGATGTCTCGCTTGTCTTTGGACCGTGGTGTTGCAAGGTGGCCGGCAGCTACCGAAAATTAGTTACAATCGTGGAATAAGAGCAGATGTGACACTTACTAGCTATTGCCAGAGGGAGATTAGACTCAACAACACCGCTCACCAATAGCGAGTCAGGGTGCGATAGAGTGATGGAGGTGTAGTACCATAGTATCCAGAACGTGTGCCACAGTGGAGTCTGATCCGAACCATCTGGAAGAACGTCCATGCGTCCAAAGTCAAAGAAACTGAACACCGGCTTCTGGTTACGCGGTACCAACTCCGCGATACCTTTCAGGGCCTGCGATATTTGCGCGTGCTGCTTGTCCGTCAAGATGGAAAGCGCTCGGCGCTGTGCCTTGGGCCGTTCCAGTAGACAACTAGCGTGCGTCAGTTCGCGAGCCATCATCTGGAGCTGAGTGACGAGGATGACGGCGGCAAAAGGCGAAGCCCAGAGGAGCCTGAGTTTCTTGGGCTGCCGTTTGCCTCCGCTATTGTCCTTGTCGTCGCCGCGTCCGGAATGCAGGAGCGTCTGCGAGGCTTCGTAGAAGAATCCTTGCGATGGAGGTGTCTCGTGTGAGTAGGCATTGTCGTCGGGCTCGTCAAAGGATTTGAATCGTTGCCGGCGGCGCTCGTACCAATCTCTGTCGGAGCGGGCGAGCCAGATGTCCTCGCAGCATGGCAAATCGTACTTGATCTCGAGCGAAGAGAGCATGGGTCTGAGGTTGCAGAGGATGGCGAGTTGTGAATCGAGAAGGTAGAGCATGTAGACGCAGCGTTTCTTTGATTCCTTTTTGATAAAGCCTTGCCATTGCTCGCTGAGGGCTTCGGCGCTGACTGGTTCGTTGATATCGTCTTCGTCGCCTTCCTCGCCATACCCACTGTCCTCGCCAGAGTTGGTAGACAGAGACTCTAATGAGCTGTCCTGAGACATTTGGAGGAGCCTTATCGCATCTATTAGGTCACGGTGAATGCGCTGAGCTTTGAGGAAACTAGTGTCGTTGCCGCCGTAAATGCCGAGGAATTCAAGGAGGAGAAAGGTTTGGAGGACCCAAATTTCTTGGTATCGTGATCGGTTCTGCTCAACCTGTGCATTCTGTCAGCCCAGTTTAGAGGGTAACAACAGTCTTGCATACTAACATATTGTTGTAGTGCAGATAGAGTAGACTCGAACACGGCCTTCCGAGCGGCCTCGTCGAACGGAGACTCGCAGTAGAGGCTTCCGACAGCGGTGATTACATTTAACAGAGGAACTTGTGTCGATACGATATGAAATGATCCTTCGTGAAGAATAGGGAAGTTGCGATGAAATCCATCAAAGAAAGCCTCGACGCATCGAATCTCGCTGGATATTCTGTAGGTGTAGTGTTAGTGCTAGGCGAAGCTTGAGGTGCCCACAAACTTACGCCGAAGATGGAGGCTCATAGGTCTGATTGTGGTGCTGTATTGGCTCTGCTACTTCAGTCTGAGCTGGTGGTGGGTGTGTCAATAAGACATCCATCCAAGCTGTTGTGCTGGGTGAAGCGATATGTTGTGTATTAATGGCTGGAGGAGGAGGTGCTGTCTTTGGTGGTGAAGCTTGGGAGGATACATGACAGTTCTCTACATGTCGTTTCCTCAGATCACTTTAATTGTTGTCAGCAACGACCGGTGCAGTATGCTGCCAGATGTACTAGGCGTTCAGTGACGAAGCCGGGCAGCATCGCGATGGCTAAGTCGTACCTTCGCGCAAAGCGTGCGCTGCACTGGTTGCATGGAAAACACGGCGCATTTCTGCCTCTGTGATCTTGGCGGATGTCAGCTATTTCTCTGGATTTCGGCACAAGAAGACATTGGCTCACGTGTATTCACATGGCGCTTGAGATTCTCCTACGTGACGTAGCTGTCGTGTTAGTGACGACTAGCAGCAGAGCACGATGTCAGAGGATGGCAAGGTACCTGACGAGTAAACCCCTTCTTGCATGTGGCGCACTTGAAAGGACGAGGAAGACTTTCATCCATCGTAAAAACGAAGAAAGTATCGTGCTTTGATGTTGAAGAATGCGAACGTGCACATCGCCATGGGTTTCTTGCGAAAGTCTGGGGGAGGAGGACGGCACCGAGGGGAACTTCACGGAATGGAAGTGGACGAGGACCCCTCGGAGGTACGTACCGAGTGGACGCCGCCGGCGACGGATAAGCAGATAAGATACGGATTTCTCGATTGGGTCAAGCTTGTCCACCCACGTGACGGAAAAGGTACGTCGCTCAAGTGGACAATTTGATTAGCTAAGTCAAACTCGCTTCTATCCGTCTTCACGCAGCCAATCATATCACCTCAATTGGCGATTCGGGCATCGATAATCGGCCCCGCTATTTCTCGGAAGCGGAGAACTCCCCGCTTCACCAGCTCCGGGCCCCCCTTCAGACGCGTCTTTCTATTTTCCTCTGCCCCTCGCTGCCCCTCGGATATCGCGTTGATTGCCATGCTTGACTCTCCACAGTTTGTCATGTCTGGTGCGTTTTGTCCACCTTCAGATCGGCTTGCCTCCGGGCACGTCCAGCACGTACGGCTCGCCGTCAATCTTCTTCCAGATGTCATCGCTCTTGATGCGCCAGTACCACGCGTGAATAGCGGGGTGCTTTTCTGTCCACTCCTTGGCAAACACCTGCGAAATCGTTGGTTAGCATTAAAAAGTGACACTCTCCGAAGTCGGACGAAGGACGGTGGTTCTCCGAGAATCTCCTCCATGCAACCAAGGTCGGGCACTTACAAACTGGTATCCTCTAGCAATGGCAGCAATCATGAATAGATCGGCTATCGTGAGCTCGTCGCCAACAAGGAACTTCTTGCCCGTCAACGCCTTCTCCACCACACTGACCATGCCCTCGCTATTCTTCTCGGCCGCAGCGAGAATCTCTGGTGATGAAGGCGCCTTGCCGATGACCGGGTTAATCCACGCCATGATGGGAGGCAGAAGCTCGCTGTTCGCAAATGAGGCCCACTTCAGGATCGTGGCCTCCTCTTCGAGGGTGGAGCCGAGCAATCTGGTCTTGGGGTCCTGCTTTGCGACTGGCACGTATTGTTAGCCAACAGATAAAGCAGCGGTCCAGAATTATATGCTTACGGTAGATGGAAACTGGAATGCACTCGAACAATGTGAAGCCGTTGGGGCGCTCGAGGGCAGGCACCTTGCCCGGAGGGAACTTTGAGAGGTAATCTTCGCCAACACCGCCCTTGCTAGCGTCCACTTTGATCGGCCATGCCTCGACAAACTCAATATCGAGCCTGATAGTGACATCTTGGTAAGCATCTGCGCCCATGAGTCTGGCTGATTTTGCGTCAAAGACTCACTTGTTGTACTCTGCGATGTAGAGACACTGGGTGGCGCGAGGCGCCTTGGGGTACCAGTAAAGCTTTCCAAAAGACATGTTGCAAGATTAAGCCTTTGCAGTACTTGTGACAGAAGAATGATGGTGCGAGAGCAGAGTTCAGAATGACGACAACGGTGTCGAACAAGCGAATTCCAGTTCGGCCTCTGGCTAATAAACCCAACAACTTGCAACGCGGCAAGTTGACCGAGTCCATCTCCATTGTTTATCACGCAAGCTGCGGCTGATACCACATTCTCAACTCCACGATATCAGTGTCTGTCATAGCCATCGCGACGTGGAGCTCAATTCGAAAGACCCCTTCTCCATGTGGAGCACACCTTGGGGTAGCACGGTCGCTCATCGCACCCACCAAAAACC